GGGGCTGGTGGTGGCTCTAAGAGACAGCAGGGTGCAGATGAGGCCAGCTGTGCCACTGGCTCACTGAGACTCCTGTCTGCAGGCTCACCGTCCCCCTTTTCCACCAGCCCCAGCAGGCCCCTGGCTGCCTCCTCTCGGGCGGATGCTTACTTTGCCTCGTTACCTGTGGAGTGAAGAAGAGACAGCTCAGTGCTGCCTCCCCCACAAGGCCCCTGACCAGGTGGAGCAAGACAGGCCCAGTGTGAGAGCATGGTCAGCTGTTTGTTCGCAGGTTCTGGAAGCCGATCATCCTCTGCTGCTTCACCGGAGGAAGCAGGTGCAGGACCACTGCCCCTGCATCGGGAGCTGGGCCTGGGAGTGGCCCCACACGGTGACAGTGGTCTGATGGCCAAGTCAGCAGGGAGAGCCTCTGGTACCCCAGATCACGCCCACTGCTGAAGGCAGTTTTATGCCAGAGGCCTTTTAGAAACAGCTTTGGGGCCCACAAGTTCTCCCTACCAGAGGAGACACAGGGGACATCATTCTGAGTCTTCCCCCAAAGGCCAGGACGATGTCTAACAGCCAGGGCAGCATGTGGACAGCAGCCTGGATGCAGAGGAGGAGGCAGGCCTCAAGGCCCAGCCAGCAGACAGATGGTGTCCGTGAAGAGGAAGAGGGGGCAGAGTGAGTGAGACTGTGTGCACAGGGGAGAGGCACCCTACACAGACTGTCCAAGCTGGAGAAGAGTCTGGGGGCAGGGAGGGCTGTCCTTGTATTCCTGCGAGACCCTCCAGCTGTGCGCACAGTAGGTGTTGAGGCTGCCACGTGTCGGGAAGCCACTCAGAGATAAGCCAGCCCCAGGCGATGGGGTTGGAATCCAGACAGGCTGCCCGCCACCAGCACCGGGCACTGTCTTGCGTGAGTCGCTTGTAGCACTACGTTATGAACGTGGCTCAGGGCCCTTCCTGCCTCTTGGACCCACCCAGCTCTCCAGCCTGGCCGAGGTGCCTGTCACCCAGAACTTTGCATCCGGGGTGAAACCACCCAGAGGGCACAGGCAGAGCCCCTGGGGTAACGCCATCCTGGTGACGGGCTGCAAAACCCTAGTGCTCATAAAATAAACACGACCCTCAACAGAAAAGGCCAAGGCCTGCACACGTACTGAAAGGCTCCACCAGGACCCGTTCCTGAAGCTCATGTCCACGTCTGTCTGGCCATCGCTGATCCAAATCAGAAGCTCGTCCCTGGCCCCCGGCGTCAGCCCTTCGCAACCTCAGATCCGCCAGGCACAACCCGAGGGCACACGCGTGTGCTCCGCGCACTTTCCCCAAGCTGGAGGCTGTTACAAATGCAAAAACCATTCTCGGCTCGGAGGCCGTACAAAAACGGGGCAGCCCCTGCTCTAACTGCAGGGTACTGAGAAAGGGGACAGGCACCGGAGGAGACGGGAGAAGTGCCCGTGCTGTGCCCGCGCCGCAGGGGCTTCACTGAGACCCCCGCGGCCCTCACGGCGGGCCCTCTCCTTAGGGGCTGCCCTGGAAGGCCGGCCGGCCCCCATCCCCGCCGTGCGGACACGCCCTCCAGGCAGTCGGGGGGTCGCCCCGACCACGGTCCCGACTTCCCTACAGACTCTCGCCCCACTGAACCGAACCCAGATACCGCCAGCTCTCCAACCACCCACTTACTTCCGCCTTGGGAAATAACTTCCGGGTAAGTGTCGGAAGGGGCGGGGCAGCTGGAACGAGTGGGCGGGTCTCGCGTTACATCACACGTGTCGTTACCATCCTGGACCACGGCGACGGCGGGGGCGTTGGGGGGGGGAGATCATGCAGTGGAGAGAGTTCGAGGTGTCACGTACCCGATTTTCAGATTATTGCCTGGAGCTCACTTCCCGACGTGGAATTCTTTGGCCAGAGGCATTTCCAGGCTTCTGTTACGTTTTGGGAAGATGACCTTCGAGGGGGCCTGGACACTCCCACCAGCGGCGTGGGTGAGCGAGTCCGGCCGTGGGACCCCGTGTAAACCCGAGCATTGTTAGAGACAGACGACAGCGCCAGGCCAGTCCCCCCCAGGTCTCTCCCTCAGCATCTCCCCACTCAGGTCCCCCCCAGGTCTCTCCCCATCAACATCTCTCCACTCATGTCCCATCCCAGGTCTCTCCCTCAGCGTCCACCAACTCAGATCCCCCCCAGGTCTCTCCCTTAGTGTCCCCCCACTCAGCCCCCCAGGTCTCTCCCTCACCATCGCCCCACTCAGGTCCCCCCAGGTCTATCCCCATCAGCATCTCTCCACTCAGGTCCCCCCCCGCAGGTCTCTCCCTCAGGTCCCCCCAGGTCTCTCCCTCAGTGTCCCCCCACTCAGCCCCTCCAGGTCTCTCCCTCAGCATCTCCTCACTCAGGTCCCCCTCAGGTCTCCCCCTCAGCATCACCCCACTCAGGCCCCCCACAGGTATCTACATCAGCATCTCTCCACTCAGGTCCCCCCCAGATCTCTACCTCAGCATCTCTCCATTCAGGTCTCCCCCAGGTCTCTACCTCAGCATCTCCTAACTCAGGTCCCACCAGGTCTCTCCCTCAGTGTCCCCCAACTCAGCCCCTCCAGGTCTCTCCCTCAGCATTTCCTCACTCAGGTCCCCCTCAGGTCTTCCCCTCAGCATCTCCCCACTCAGGTCCCCCCAGGTCTCTCCCTCAGTGTCCCCCCACTCAGCCCCTCCAGGTCTCTCCCGCAGCATCTCCCCACTCAGGTTCCCCTCACGTCTCCCCCTCAGCATCTCTCCACTTAGGTCCCCCACAGGCCTCTCCCTCAGCATCTCCCCACTTAGGTCACCCCCAGGTGTCTCCCTCAGTGTCCCCCCACTGAGGTGCCCCCAGGTGTCTCCCTCAGTGTCCCCCCACTCAGCCCCTCCAGGTCTCTCCCGCAGCATCTCCCCACTCAGTTCCCCCTCAGGTTTCCACCTCAGCATCTCTCCACTCAGGTCCCCCCCAGGTCTCTCCCTCAGCATCTCCCCACTTAGGTCCCCCCCAGGTCTCTCCCTCAGTGTCCCACCATTCAGCCCCTCCAGGTCTCTCCCTCAGCATTCCCCACTCAGGTCCCCCCCAGGTCTCTCTCTCAGTGTCTCCCCACTCAGGTCCCCCCCCAGGTCTCCCTTCAGCATCTCCCCACTCAGGTCCCCCCCAGGTCTCTCCCTCAGTGTCCCCCCACTCAGCCCCTCCAGGTCTCTCCCTCAGCATCTCCCCACTCAG